AATTTATTTTAAAATACAATTTTTCAAACCTTTCTAATGTGAGTACCAGTTGTTGGCATTCATCAGATTTGGGGCATTTATATAAGTCGTTAATTGCGAACTCCTTTTTGAGACGTCGAAAAAATACTGAAAAGATCCAGCTAAATATTTGTCAAAAATAGCAAAATTAAATAATTACTTCATTAATAAAAAGTAAATTTTACATTGAATAGGCTTTACTAAAAATGTTAGCCTGGTCAAATTTCGAGGGCTTGCTGATAAGCTTTTCTTCATCCATATCTTAATCCAATTTTTATTTAAAACTTATAATTTAGTCATTTTAAAACATCTCTATAAATATTGTATAAAAGTTTTGAAATAATTGTAAGAATTCATTGAAATATTATATTAGTATTAAAAATGCAACTTTATATACTTTATATACTTATTTACTGTAATAAAAAGTATTATAAAAACATATAATTATTTATAAAATAATAAAAATTGTATTACATTTATTAGGCAATTATGAAGTGCATGTGCAAACTAAACTGGTTTTTAGTGAATGATTAACATGCATTGTGCACATTAATGTAATTCATCAAGCATATTGCATATTATAAAATTCTTATGTATTTTGATTCATTATACATATAAGTGTATATTAAAAGCAAACAAATTATAAATTGTGTCAAATATTATGAAGACAAATTTTTAAATGGATTTTAAATTTTATTTTTAAAATTATTAAACACAATACTATATTATAATGTACTAAAACCTTGAAAATATTTTAAAATTCATATTTGATAAATAAACATAGTGAATAAGCATAAAATGTTTTATTTTATTTAAATTGAATTTAATATTAAGCTTTAATAAATATTAAGATATTTTGTACTATAATAACCACAACTTTATTTTTTGTGATTACCTTAAAAAACCAATGTATCAGATCTATATACTGTACAATTGATTATAAGGTTAAATTGAATTTAATATTTAGAAAACTAAAATAAAATCTACAATTACTGTTACTAGAGCTGGCAGATAGTTTCAAAAGTTACATAAAAGGTATTTTCTTAATGTTTTGTTACTTTTTCACATCTATGCTAACAATTATGAGTCAATACACTGCAGTACAGAATTCGTTGGATATAATAAATTATCAGTCATTTTATTATAGAGTACAGTAAAGTCTCTCTCTCTCTCTCCCTCTCTCTCTCTCTCCCTCTCTCTAATTATATTAAAATAACGTCATATTGATATCGTGTGCACTAGGAATGCATAGCACATGTGTACGTGATTTGACATTTGTTTGCTAACTTATGTTTGATTAGATAAACCCAATTGACATTGAATTAAATTTTAAAAAGTGACTTATAGTTTTGGTTTGTATCACCCTCCACCCCCACCCAGTAATTCTCATGTATTGCTCTATTGCTCGTGTCAAATACTTCTTGAGTAAGGAATGGCAGGTTTGGAACTACTGTAGTCCCGATACCCGGCCTCATATGTGTCGGAAGTCAACTGGTCGACCATTTTTTGGATTATTTGTTCAAACATTTTATTTAAAGTATTTTTATGTTACTTGTGTGAGGACTACCAGTGGACTGGTAGCATATGTGAACGGTAGTGCTATGCAGTTTTCATTATCTTAATGTTGATGCTATGAGATTGTAGTTTACTGTAAAAAGTTTGGTTATATATGAATTATATAATTGTAAAATTTTCTAAAGCAATTAGTTTATGTACGATTGGTTAAAGATTATAGAGATATTTGATCTGTGTCCAATAATTTTAAAATGCACTTATATCAAAATGTAATCATACTTTTGACACTGAAATTATGATATAACAATCGGTGCGTACAACTAATACTGTGAACACATGCACTTATATCATATTAGTTAAGTTTTATGATAATAACCAAAAATTGTATTCATATTTTATTATTTAAAATATAAGATATTTTTATTTAAGAATATAAGATATAAGAAAATATATTTATTACGCTATGTTATTTTTACGGGAGTTATATGTCATAAAAATCAAAAACATATTTTATCATAATTATACCGTACCTTTTTATGAATATGTTAAAAATACATAATATGTATTATATTATTATATTATAATAAGTTCAAGTGTTCACAAAATCATGTATAACCAAACTATATGCACATATAAATAAATACAATAAGTAAACTTAAAATAAATTGCCTGGTAATTTCAAAAATCTTACTGGATAGTGCAGAGCACAGGTATATACGCAATTAAATGATTTTAGCAAAAATTTATATAAGTTTTTTATAAAAATAAAATATTTGTTTATGATAAATTATATTTATTTTTGTACAACATTATATTTCGTTGGAAAACGTTATAAGTTATAACTTATAACAGTATTAAATACATTATAACCTTGAGTCTAATTTTATAAATAATTTAAAACTTAAATCTAATTATATATTTATATTTATATCTATTATATCTTTTATATCTTTTATATCTTTTATATTATATATTACAAAACAACATTTTAAGTGTATATTAAATAAATAAGTAAAAAGTTATTTCAGATGGAAATCAGTGTATCGGTTGAGGATCGACTAAAAGTGTATGAAAAATGTAAAACACATTTAGGCGGCCATTGGAGTGATGTTAGTGCCGACCAACTGGTCATCAAACGCGTTACGTTAGTGTCGATATGTTTGTATAAAATAACAAAATTAATTTATTTAAATCATTTAGGGGTGGAATAGTTAATAAATCATTTTATTGTCATTTTCCGGGTATTGACAACAAATATAACAAGGTATTTGTCAGATTTATTAGTGATTATATGAGGGAAGTGCGCGATTCAACACAACTACTGGCTATTGACATATTGATGGCAGAGATTAATATATCGCCCAAAATATACAGTGTGTTTCAAAATGGATTCATCAGTGAATATATTGATGTAAAATATAATTTATTATAAATACGGAATATTCTGTAAGTAATTATTATATATTTCATATGAAGTGTCGTTATTTCAATGCCGACGACGACCTCAACCCTATTGCCGTCAAACTATTGGCACAAAAGGTGGCAAAAATGCACTCAAAATACATACCGATTGCCAGAAACGGCACACAAAAGACAATGAAAATAGTTTTTGAGGACTGGTTTGATAGCCACCGGATTGAGTCCTACAGACAGGGAGTCATACGTAAAGAGATAGAGAAACAAAAGTGTGAAACACTTATGGAAATGGATTTCGTGGCTGAGTTGGCGTGGGTTAGGAAAGCCGTCGTCCACCTCAAGAGTCCGGTAGTGTTTTCCCACAACGACCTCAACCGCCGCAATATACTCGTCCGCAATGGAGATAATGACCACAATTTGGATGTCTTTATCATTGACTTTGATTGGAGTGGATATATGTATAGGGGTTTGGATATTGGCGACTATTTTATACATTGGTGTCAAACGGATACGGATTTAGGGGCCAATAATTTCCCGACTGATCCACAAATGTATGCCTTTATTGACG